AGGAAGATGGTGGAATAATAAAGGAGAAATGTGTGGATAAATCAATCTGACAAGCTTAAGACAAATACTGAAGAATATTGGGGGAAAGAATATGTAAGGAAGTTCCGTGACATCGACTGTGACGGAACGAGCCTAGCGTGGGCAGAGAGTTCCTCAGTGAAGGGGATATTTAGAATAAAGAGAGAGAGAGATTGTATGTTTAGATCGTGTTTTATTATCCTCTTGAGCAGGCCCTTTTTATAGGCGAAGTAATAGAATGTTGTGGAAGGAATTAAAGCTCATATCAGAGGAAAAGATTAGAGAGAAAGAATGATGTAAAAGGTAGAGTAGAAGTTCTTAGAAGAAAAGGGGGTTTAAAATAAGGGAAAAAGGGGTCTGTCCGAAAGGAAACAAAGAGTGACGAGGCAATTGCCAATTAGTAGGTAGGACAAGAAGATTTAAAGGAATATCAGAAAAGAAAGGTAGTGCAAGAATATTTGGGGAAGTTCCGTGACAATCGATGTGAGGGAATGGAGTGGATGAGCAGAAGTCTCAAGTGCCAAGATGAGAGTTGCTCAGGATATTGCCAATAAAGTAGAGTGTAGAAAAGTGATCTGTTTATTTGATGTCCAAAGATGAAGGAACAGAGGGGCCTTTTATAGGCGACAGATCGGAGAATAGGAAAATAACAATGGAATGAGAAGGAAAGAGAAGGAAGGATCGAAAGTAGAAGAGAGACGGCCTGAGTCGACAGGATGGAGATGGAGTCGACAGGAGGTCGCAGGAGTCATTGAGAGAGCATGAAAAGAAGGAAAAGAGGAGAGAAGGAGAAAGAAGGAAGAAAGATCGCGTCGATGTTAACTGAGTCGAGCGACGTCCAAACAAAGAAAGGCACGAGATTGTCAGTAAAGGAAATTCGGGCTTGACAATCGAAGGTGAGATTTCAAAGGTAATACAAGAGAATATTGCGCCTTGGGGATTTTAAAGGGCATTCCGTGACAATCGACAACAGCATCCCAGTTAGTATAGTGGCTAGTATCCGACCCTGTCACGGTTGAGACCCGGGTTCAATTCCCGGACTGGGAGCATTTTTTTTCCCTCGATCACGTCATTAAAATTTGTTTTTTATTGGACCTCGTTAGCACATTAAACACCTAAAACTTGTTATAAAGCCCAACCCCAACAACAGTTGCCAGCTCTTCTCAATCAAGCTCCAACCCGGAAGCATTAGCAGAACATCTCTCACTGAACGCACATCTATTTATTGGTCCCAGCATGTGAATACTTCAACAGATCTTGACCTCCCACCCTTGACTTCGCGCCCTCTTCTCCGGTCTCTCTCTGAATTCTCCTCGTTCTTGTCGTCGTCTTTTTCCCTCCCTTAAAACCTCCGCATTTCTACCTGCTTACGCTCCGCCGAGCCCCCACGTGATGGTGAGCGCAAAGCTCCTTGCTTACCCTGATGCCTTTTGAGTTATCCAATTGGCCAAACACTTTGCTCGCTTCTTGTGCACTGACTCCACGCTCTCGTCTTATATGAAAGTGAAACATAGCGATTTCCGCTCTACCTACTTTATTGTATGTTATCAAATCATATGCAAGTTTTTTTTTGTGTATTTAAATGTCTCAAACCTGACCCTACGAATGTGGTAGGTAGGTCACCGTCGGGGTATGCAGTTTCTGAAAACACGGAAATTCAAAGGAGTTAGGGTTGGGGTATAACTCATTGAAGAGATTTCTTCAACATAATCAATGAGGTTTTATAGTGCGAGTTTGAGGCTTCTTTTTTTTTTTAGAACTTTACGGTCGATGCCGATGTAGGTACCGATGCGGATTTCTCAAATGGGATAAGCTACTCTGTTTCTCCGGGCTACTGAGTGGTTAAGCAATCATTGGCCGATAGCTCTTAGCAGCTGAATGATATAAATATATATATTGGTCTCTTGTTGTGTGGTGTTCTGATGAGGTGCTCTTTCCCTTAATCCGCCAGCGTGATTAACTCCTTGGAAGATCCAAACCCCGAAGCAACAGCCACAGCCGCCCTCAACCCCTCCTTAACCTGTTCAAAAGACACATTGATCATCTTAACAGCCTTCCCAGGCTCATACTCCAGCTTCGGCCCCTTTGAAACAACGGAAACATGCAACTTCCCCGCGCTCTTCAACACATTACGAAACTGCGGTGGAACCCTTCCCAACCATTGGACCTCCACCACCATCGCCTCCTCAGCCAAGAACTGTCCCAGCATCATCCCAGACCCATTGGACGCCACCATGATATTGTGTTGGCGTGCCAACCTGACCTGTTCGGCAAAGCTCAACTTTGCGAGTTGAACGACGGTGAGGTCAATCTCTCCCCTGTCGATAGTGGGTTGCAGCCATCGAGCGATTTCCTTCTCGTAAGGGATGATGCGCGTGCCCGAATCCTCACGGGACACCCACAGAATTCGGGGTTTGGTTGGGGCCGGGAGGGAGTGGACGTTGTAAAGCTTTAGGACCTCCGAGAGAAAGGACGACAGGAGGAGGCTTCTGTGGCATGCAACATCCTCCCAGTGGATCGTCCAATAAGGCGAGTTGGATGCGGAGATTGGGAAGATCATGTTGGTAAAGCATGTTCCATCGGGAATATCCTTGACCAGTTTGATGGGACGGCTGGAGAAGAGGTTGAAGATGCCCCATCGATCATTGTAAGCGTCAGTGTTGGCGTGATAGATGTGGGTATTGGTATTGTTATCGGGGAGGCCAAGCATCCGGCGCGTGAGAAAGAGGCTGTACAGCGCGGCAAACTCGTGGCCGACATTGCCCTCAGTTTCGCGGCGCTCGGTGATCTAAAAGTATATGTAGGTTGGTCAATAGGGCTTAAAAACAAGCAAAGAAATCCCGAAGCACCCAATCCTAGGCTTCATCTCTTCTCTCACCTGGAAATAAGCCGGCTCCTTAACCACAGTCTTGCATTTACTCCAAACATCGCTCGACGACTGATCTGTGCTCAAGATGGACCGGAACAATGTCCCAAGCCCGGTATTATACCACTGCATCTCGCCTTTCGAGATGGCAGCATCCCTCTTCAAACCACAAGAAAATGAAAGACCCCCTTGGTCCTTCAACCAAATCGCGTGGGATGCCGTGCAGTAATCGGCATAGGGTGATTCTTTGCCGTCCTCATCAAGTCGGCGGAAGCAGTTGAAGCGCGAAGGATTAAGACCCTGGGATGCCAAAGTGGTTGATGCTGATGGGCTGATGGCAGGGTCGGACATGGCAGTGGAAGCTGAGGAGCACATGCTCTCCGGGTCCTTGTAAGAAAAGAGTCGATCATATCCCATGATATGTTGACACTTTCTGGCGTCATGATCCAGCTGTTCCAAGCGACTCAAGTCCATGGCCTCTTCTTTCTCCCTGTCATCGGGATCGCTGAAGGCACCGTCAGCCGCAACAGTTGGGATGGGTCCCAGCTCTCCACCATCATCAGCCGCGGCAGTTGGGATGGGTCCCAGTTCTCCACCACCGTCACCCTCCCCGCCAACGCCCACACGGCTGGCAGTGTCCACAGGCAAGGCACCGCTTTGACTCCCACCCTCTCGGTTTGCTGCAGGCGGTGTGGGATCATAAAAGAGGGCCAAGTAGATGACAGAGAAGCCAGCGAAGAGAATCAACAAGACCGCCACAGCCAGCAAGCCAGCGTTGGATGATCTTGCGGGCCTGATGGTCATGGAGCGGTAGGCGTGTTGATGCATTCCCAGTCTACATTGAAAGCGACACAATGTTGCGTGTGCCCTTTATCTTAAGGAACGGCATGGAGTGAACCCAGGTGTTTTTGTTTTTTGTTTTAGCGTGTTTTCGAGAAAGTGTCACTCAGACAAGGGGTCGGGCAGCTCTCAAATGGAGCGAATCACATCCACCGCATGGACACACCGTGAAGACACAGTCAGAGGCCAAGGTCTGCGCCTCCTCCCAAAGAATGTTCGGCGAAGAGCACTGCCCAATCGGAAAATTCTTTTCAAAATGCCTTGTCGAAACGGCGTCGCCCCTCAGTGACCGACTTGAGCAGCGAATCGTGCCACACCAGTGGCAGACCTCAGGGGGCGACTGAATTATCGCAGGAACACTGGCGGAGGAGCAGCGGAACAGAGTCAAATTCACAAGCCACAATCGCGAGCAGTAACAACTGAGTCTTTTTTCTGAGGCGGTCAGCACCGAGTCCTGATCAATTCACCTCTCTGTGCTTCACCTCCCTGCAGTGATGAGTTATCACCGTCTATCTCGCTAAATGCTAGAAAATGGACCTGCACTGCATGGTCATTCGGTAATTTCATGGGGGCCCACCAACTGGATCTTGATAATCTTGGTCAAGAGCACGCGTTCTTCATGTTGATTTTTTGTTACAATCGTTTTTCTTTGCATAGAACACAGTTGTGGGGTTTTGATCGATTCACAGACGTGAAAAAGCACCTCAATGTACTGAAGAAACACGCGGCGAGCAAGTGGTCTTGGTCAGGGACATACCCAGTTGAGACGGTTGGTTCTCTTGAGTGAAGTTCACGAGGTCAAGGATCAATAAGGTGCATTTATATATCTTGGCTTAGGTTGTTTCCCTCCAAGGAATCTATTCCCTTCACACCCCTCCCCCAGTGGATCCACTCGGAGTCCTGAGCTTGAGCCTGAGAAAGCGAGAGCACCGTATCGCGCAAAGGGAGCAAGATACGAAAAAGGGGAAGCAGGAGACGCTCGAGGAAACACTGTGATGGAACGTTCCGTTATTCCCTCTTGCCTTTGTAACTTGTCAACCTGGGCCCTGAGCAGGTCCAACAAAAAAAAAAGAAGCAAAAAACAACAACACCGCCAAGTCGAACCCCATCTGTGTTGACAATGCATCTATGGCTCTCCCATATTCTTTCTTCCACTCCTCTCTGTTTCTGTATGTACCATCAATCTATTCAGTCTCTCTCAATAATCGGAACATTCTGAAGCACCTTTATAACATCTACTGCTTCAGGCATAGCCGCATTTCTGGTGCGTGCATGCAGCGGGCAGATTACATTTGCCAGAAGACCAAAAGATTC